AAAAAAAAAAAAACTGTGGCTAAATATGGGCAAAGGAATAATAACAATAAAGATGGTTAACATATATTGACCATTTAGGAGAAAAGTTTAAAGGGAAAGATGTGTAGCCTGAGCTGGAGAGTAAGGGAATTGTCATTATTTTACTAAAATTCTGGGAAAGGAGAGGTGCTTTGGTCTGACTGGCAACAAAGAACCTAGCCCACTAACCTGTATTTCTATTCTAATCTGCACACAGTGTGTTCTTCTCAGGGAACTGCAACTAACAGGCCGTTTAGCTTGCTGATAACCAAGTAGAAACATTCAATAAGAAATAACAAGGGAGTGAGGTGAGGAAAATATATCATCCTTTTTGCGATGCAAATGAATTTTCTGGAATTTCTATGGATTAATTTAATGATTTAGAATCTCAGCAGAAAAATACATAAACAGCTTTTTTTAAAAACCTACTCATTAAATTTGCTCAGCCCTTTGTAATGACTTTGCATATGTACAATGATGCAAAGAATGGTATTTACACAGGACGGTTTCTAGGTCTTGAAACTGGCACAGACAGGTGCAGAATTCATTTACACATACTTTTAAGAAAAAAATGTTTCTTACTATCCTACTGCTGCAAATAACAGATCAGAGGAGTCTAGTTTATATTTTGTTAATCATCTTTTCTTCAAATCTATTTTCTAGATTAAAATCAGTTGGTATGACTGAACTCCCTCATCTATAAAAAAAGCCTATTTTGGTTTACTTTTCCATTTTTTTCTATTTGATGAGCTGCTAAGAGAGAATGTTTCTTTATCTCTTGTTCATTGCATAGCTGATTGAAATCACTTTTTATATGTGGAGCATACTGTAGATTGGCTAACTCAACTTCTTCCTAGCTTACTGCTGATGGATGCAAAATCCTTAAATACTACCTCTCCTGGACTTATTTGCAACAGTTGATACAAGGTTATCTTTATCTTTAGATGCACTTGATAAAGATTTGAAAGGAGGACTTGAGGGATACCTACTTTTCCACTCCTGTTCTGCCAGAGATAGCTGTAGCAATATTAATGACAATGATCACTGCAGTTTCCTGATTCTTAAACCCTGAGTTTGATGGTAGATTCTTTAACTTTTTATTGTGATCTGGGTGAAAGTTTACATAGCAAATTAGTTTTACATTCAATATTTATACACGTTTTGTTTCAGGACACTGATTACAATCCTCACACTGTAAGAGCTCTATTCCTACTTCCTCCCTGTGTTTCTCATTTCCATTCATCCATCTCTCCTCTCCCTTCCTGCCTTCTGAGCCTTTTCTCTGGGCAGATGCTGCTTTCTCAATCTGTGTAACTGGCTGTTCTTAGGAGTGCAAATCTCCCTGGTGTTATTGTTCACACTGTTAAGTCTGTCTTTCACATGGGTGGAAGTTGACCCACAGGGGAAATATACCATCCTTTTGTGATGCAAATTAACTTTTTCCAGAATTTCTATGGATTAATTTCATCATTTCTGAATCTCAGCAGAAAGCAAATGGTGGTGGTTATGTGTTGTGAAGTCAGTTCCGACTCATAGTGACCCTGCATTGTGTTTACAAGACTGTAAATCTTACAAGAGCAGAAAGCCTCATCTTTCTCCTGCAGAACAGCTCATAGTTTTGAACTGCTGACCTTGAGGTTAGCAGCTCAACTTGTAACCACTACACTACCAGAGCTCCTTAAAATAAATAGGTTTAAAAAAACAAAAACAAAAAAAAAAACCTACTCATTAAATCATCCATTAAGTTCAGCCCTTTGTAATGACTTTGCACATTCACTATGATATAATGAGTGGTGCTTAAGAATAAAGCAATTTTTCTTTATCATTCAGTTCTAAGACTATAGGGTAGCTAAGGGCCATAGAGTATCTACGGTACATAATCTCAGGGGCTCCAGTATCCTCTATCAGTTGGCAGTGGTAGCTGAGCACCATCTAGCTCTGATCTCAGCATAGTAGAGGCTGAGATTTTCATGGTCTATTAGTCCTTTGGACTAATGGTTTCCATAAGTCTTTGATTTTCTTCACTCTCCCTTGTTCTGACGGGGATAGACCAATAGTTGCATTTTAGATGGCTGTTCACAAGCTTTTAAGAACCCAGTTGCTAATCATCAATGTAGGATGTATAATATTGTATTTGTGGACTATGTTATGCCTATTGACTTTGGTGTTTCCCAAGACTATGGTCTTGAGACCCTAGGTCCAAAGACTCATTCTCTCAAAGTGTTTGGTTCTGGCTAAGAAGCTTTCAGATGATCTACTGTATATATGGATAGATTTTCAGGACATATAAATCCATATGTAAAATATCCTCTGTCAAACCTATATATGAGGACATTTCAAAAAGTTCACTGAAAACTGGAATTGAAATATAAAGAAATTTCCATAAGCTTTTTTAAAACTTCTCATATATTTGTGAGTGCAGTCCCATTTGCCGTCTCACACTTGTTCAGCTTGCATATCTATCTCTATATGCATTTATTATTACTGTTATTGCAGGATTGTGTATGTATTTACATCTGTTGCCTTTAACTCTTGTGTTCCTCTCAGTGCCTTCCTTTGCTCAACAATTTCAAGAGCTACTACTAAACTCCCACTTCTCCACCTTCCCAATAATTTTTGTAGTGCTGGATGCCCTATAAGGATCTCTGGCAGCAGAGTAGCAAAGTGCTCAGCTGCCAGTCATAAAGTCAGCAATTTGAACCTACCAGTTGCTCTGCATGAGAAAGCTGTGACTATCTGCTTCTTTCTAGAAAGGTTGACAACCATGCAAACCTTATGAGGCAGCTCTGCTCAGTTCCATAGGGTCATTGTGAGGCAGAATCAACTCAGCAGCAGTCAGTTTGATTTGGGTTTGAATTCCCTATATGAAATATGTTTCTGCCAAAAATACCTAGGGTGATTTCTGCTTCTTGTCTTAAAAATCTTGACTAATACAAGTACATTCCTCAGTACAAAGATGCAATGTAGAAGCCAGGGCTACATTAATACCTAAAATTTGCAAAATGCTAATGCACTGGACTGCAAGGTCACTTTGAAAGGCAAGCTTGGTTCAAAATAGCCAGCCTCTCCTTGGAAATATTCTTCGAGGTCGCTATGAGTCGGAACTGACTTAATGACACACAACAACGTGTATTTTATAAAGTAGGATGACATGTATTATCTAAGTTGATCTTCATCACAGTTCTGTGAAGTGGACACAGGGGCTGCTCTCCGCATTTACAGATGGGAAAGCTGAGTCTCCGGAGACTTGAGCAACTTGTCTAAGGCATTTAATTAGTAAGATCAGAGACAAATCAAGCCTACAGTGCATATGAATATTACTAATTTCTTTTGAAACTAGGAAACCTCCAAAGGCAAATAAAGAAGAAACAGAATGTACATGAATGATGGCAATGTATTAAACCTTCTATTTCCTGCTTAAAACTTAAACTATTAACCTTATACTCTAAAACCACTATGTTAGACTAAAAATAAAAAACTAAGGATGAATCATCAAACATTAGCTACTGTACAAAGTATGACTTTGGATGTGGTCATACTCTTTATAAAAGCTAGTCATACTCAGCTTTATGGGCCCTCTCCTGTAAAGACTCTTTGGCTATTAACACAGACATATGAATAGTTCAGTTGCTACTACTATCTAATGTACTAAATTCTAACGCTGCACAATCATCTTGTCAAACCCAAAATGGTGAGAAGGCTTGGGGGTCAAGATTCAATTCTCCTTTTTCCACTTTAATGGCAACTTCACCTAGGATTCCCCCTCTCCCTAACTAGGACTCCCTGGGATAAAGATTTCTTTTTCCCTACTTGCTGCCTAAATCGATTATACAACACTTGATTTCAATGCTCAGGAAACCAAAAAGGAACAATATCAAGTAAACAAAACTTGATTCAGACCACTTCAAACGTGGTCAAATTGAATTCTTTCCTCTATATTCATCGCTCCTCCATTTCATTGCAGTAGTGTAACTACATGGTTGTCCAAAAGGGACAAGAGGCAGACTTCTGATCATTAAGTCCCCACTCCCTAAAAGTCCAAAGAAAACCTTCCAACATAGAAAATCCTTGAAATCACTTCACTGAAATATCACAGCTCCCTGATCTTCTTTGATTGTTTCCTTTAGTCACATGTGACTCAAATCAAAAGGGCTAGGAAAATTGGAACTCTATAATATCCTACTTGTACCCTGTCATCAAAACATCATGTGATTTTTTTCATATAAAGAAAAATGTTTAAAATTACAAACAGAAGAAAGAAGATGAACAAAAGTTGTTCAGATCAGCAAATCAAACTCAATTATTGTTTTTCTGTGAGATAACAAAAAATATAATTATTTTGAAAGGCAACAAATTCTATACTAACCTGTGGGAAGAGAGAATAAGTTGAATTGTCAATGGTGAATGAGTATAAAAACTCTCCATCGTACCACATGCTCTTCCCCATAGGGGAATTCGTTTTAGTCATAGCAAAGAGGTGGGCGGGGTCACAGCAATCTTCCATTTGTTTCCTAGGAGAGAAAACAAGAGAGCAAGAAAAGAACAGCAGGTTAAGTGAGTAATGGATTCAATCACTTGTCATTCCTACAGAGATATGCTGCCTTACCCAGCACCAGCTCACTGAAGCAAGTGTCTCCAGCATAGTTAGACTACTATTAATTCACTCTTGCAGCCATCAGAAGCCATGACCAGAATAGTTCATAATAAGAAAAGAGTTTTAGAAACTCACATCAGCTCTCATAAGCAGCTGAAATATAACAGAAAGTAAAAACTCTGATTATAATTGCAGATTTATCCAGAAAAGACTCGGATTGTTTATTTGGGAGACTGTTGAACTACTCAATTGTATAATAAATTCATTATTTCACCTGATCTAACAATTGGGTGATGATGTCCAGTGGTGAAAAGGGATATTTTGAGTGCGGGGAGCAGGAAATGAAAAGAGTGGGCCAAGAAGAAGGTTGCTGTTGTTGTTATGTGCTGTCAAGTCAGTGTCAACTCATAGTGACCCTGTATAGGGTTTCCAAAGAGCAGCTGGTGAATGTGAACCACCGACCTTGTAGTTCAAACCAACTTTGCACTACCAAAACTGGGACAAGGTAAGAGAACAACTACTCTGAAATCCATTTGAAATGAGTGATGTGATTTCAGACACTGGTAAAGTAACATGCATTCTAACTGTTAAATCTTGTGGACTTTTCTCTACTCCCTTAATTTCCAAAACACTTGTGTCTCCTGGATCACCTCACCTTCTGGACTGGCTCATGGACTATGCCTCCGCTTGCCTCCCAAATGTTAGTGTTGGTACCACTCTACAGGGCAATCTTTATTTACTGCTCTAATTCAAAATTAGAGTCCCCGGGTGGGCACTGAGGGCTAAATGTTCAACTACTAGCTGAAAGTCTGGCAGTCTGAACCTATCCAGATGTACCTCTGATGACCCGCCTGGCAATCTGCTTCTGAGAGGTCACAGCCTTGAGAAACCTATAGAGCAGTTATACTCTGCACTCTGGGGGTTGCTATGAGTTGCCAGTAATGAACAACAATTAAAAATCTGTCAGAAACCAATTTCATTTACTCAAGCTTTTATGAATAAAAGATGAGTAAGAAAAATGGTTGACATAAACTACTCTGAATATCTCCCACACACAGGCACTGACAACTTCCAAGAAAAACAGACAGTCCTATTGTCTTAAACATCTTTAGTTATCAATGGCATCGAATCTTAGAGCTAGAAGGGGGCAGTAGATTGGAAATAAAGAGGAACTAAACCAATTACTATCAAGTTGACTTCAACTTCTAGTGACCACGTGTATGTTTTCAATGGCTGATATACATATATTTTTAAAATAGATCACCAAGGATTCTCTGGAAAGACTTAAATGTCCAACGTTTGGGTTAGAAGAAAAGTTTTTTAACTTTTGCACCACCCAGGAACCCCAGAGTATAAGTTCTTGAGTTCAAATTTTGACTACAACTTACTCGCTCTAAGAACTGAGAAATTGTGCTTCAGAACTTGCAGCAGAAAAAATTCTGAGAGAATTCACTGAAAACGTGTTGGTAGAACACTTAGTATACATTCAATAAATGTTAGACAATATCATTATTAAGACCTGCAAGGTCAGTGGTTCAAACCCACAAGCCACTCCTTGGAAACCCTATACAGGGTCACTGTGAGTCAGAGTTGACTCAATGACACTTAACAACAATAACTTTCTTATTATTATTACTATACAGTCAATACCAAGTCAGTGAGGCTATAAAGCTTCAGAGGCTGAGCAAGTCAGGGGCCAATACCCTCACTCTTAGGATGCTGATGTTCTTCCTGCTACCTCGTGCTCTTTAAGATCTTAGCTGGCCTCCCCTTAACAAAGATTTCAGTGGAAATGAGGACATGGAAGGAGGGCTCAGAAAGAAATACTCCATTTTATTAAAGTTGCTAGAATTGGTGTTTATTCTTGCTCCAAAACCATCATCAATTCATTTTTCACCAACTACACCTCTCTTTCCTTTCCTTCTCCACTTTCTTGAATTCTTATCAAAGTCTTCACCACCAAAAAGACTGCTTGATCACCAGGGATAAAGTGTTACAATAAACTATCTACACAGCTGTGTCTCTGTAGGATAAGCACTGGACTTCTAACCACAAGCTTGGTAAATGCTGCTCTGGAGGAGAAAGATGAGGCTTTCTGCTCTCACAAATATTTGTAGCCTCAAAAACCCAATACAAAGTGGCTATGAGTCAGAAGCAACTCAAAGGCACTTAACAACATCCTCTACACTTTATTAAAAGAGCATCTGATGCAAGCTCAGAGCAAGGGTCCCAGAGAGTGGTTTTGCCTGTTTAGTGCCTGGACTGTTTGTGAGTTAAGACCCAGAAGAATACAATCGGCAGCTGAGCTGTTGCTAATGCAACCACTGGAATCAGTGACCTTCAAAGAGGTAGCTGTAGACTTCAATGAGGAAGAGTCAGGGCACTGCTGGACTTACCCCAGATATGATAATAGAAAACATCATTCACTTGGTCTTTGTGGAAATGGAAAAGGTAATTCTCAACTTTACATGGAAAGGCAACATGCCCTGAATAGCCTAAACAATTTTGAAGAACAGCAACAAAGAAAGATTCCGTATACTTGCCAATATTAAAATATAGTACATAGCCATAGTAATGCAAACAGACTGAAACTGGTTTAATGACCCATGAAAAAGAATTGAAAATGCAGAAATGAATCCATACATCTTTGATCAACTGATTTTCAACAAGAGAAAAATCAATGGTGAAAGAACAGTCTCTCCAACAAACAGTGCTAGCAAAATTGTATTTCCAAATGCATAAAAATGAAGCAAGAGCCACACACAAAAACAAATTCAAAATAAATCAAGAACCTAAATGTTCTGTGTAAAACAAGGACCTAATGATATTTAATGATAAAATATAAAATGCAACCAAAAATGCATGAGCAGCAGAAGACACAGCAGACAACTGAGACCGTATAAAAGTTAAATTATTTGTTCATCAGCTAGAGAAACAGAAACTACTTCTTGAAAGAAAGACCAGCAGGGAAAATCCAAAACAAAAATGGCAGTCTGATTGGCTACTACAAGAACAAGCAAGTTGTTCACCAGGGAGTCATCAAGGCAAGCAATCAAGTCCCTTCAGGAAAAATCCCCTTCCAAGACTGAAACTCAAAGTGAACACATGAGCAGGCATGTAAGCTTGCTGGTGACCACATTGGGTTATTGGTGAGTGGAAGAGGGGAAAAGGCAACAATGAAGATATGGGCTGAGTTCAATCATGGTTCATAGACTCCCATCAACTTGTAGATGAGAGAGAGAAGAGGAAGAACTAAACTGGTTGGTCCAAAGTGTGGTGAGACCTGGGGATTCCTGAGCCCATGCAAGGCAAGGATATAGCCATGCAGGGCTCAAGCTGAGAGTGAACCATCCAGCTTATATGAAGTGAGGGGAGATGCACAAGAATGCTCAAACTTGTAGATAGTACCCATTTGACCTAGCTTCAATGGCTTGATAATCAGAACTCGACTCGAGGAAAATTTAAAAAAAAAACAAAAAAACAAGTTTTTGATAAAGAAAACTGTAAATTGTTAGGACTTGATAAACTTGACTTATACTTATGGACGCAGTAGCTCAAAATACCAACTGAGAGGGAAGGAGTCTTCACATCAAGTATCAATCCTATCCCCTCTGGATACAAGGTTGATAGAGATGGGCAACTTAGACATTGGCTACCTAAAATGAGAGGTGATAAAGGCATGAAGTGACTGGCTTATAAGTTTTCAAGAGGGAATTTAGTT